CCCTTGAAGCTATAGTTTATGTAAAAATAATTCCAGCGCACCTTGGCGGGTGTAGGTGCAAGCTGTGAAATGTATTTTTCTAACTGTAGTTTCTTATCTATCGGAGGATTACCATGCACTATCGAATTATGTAGTCTGTGGCAGATCACTTTGTCCATCGAAAAAAAGTCAGGATCGAAATTTTTGCGTTGCTATAGTTTGTGCTGATTAAATTTAATAATTTCAAGTAGATTAATTGTTATAATTAAATATAATTAATTAATATCAGTAAAATAAAGTATGAATTACTGTTATAATATAAAATTTAGGAAAAAAAATTACCGTAGAATTAAATAAAATTTTGCAACCTCGAAATACCGTTCTGCTTACAGTAAACACACTCGGTAGTCTGGCGCTCTGTTTACAACGGATTTGAACGGAACTTGGCACCAGATTCTACCGAATCTGTGGATTGAAATCCATTTTGAGATGATCTCTACATAATAAATAAAAGACTCCTATAAAATTTGGAGTTTGTAGGAACTATAGCTAGGAAATTGAAAATTTCAATTGTTAATACCCACCCCCGCAATTATTATTGAAGTCGGGTTGTCGTAAAATTATTTTTTAGATCACTTCTACATCACACATAGAAGACTCCTACCGAATTTCGAGTCTGTAGTAGCTATAGCTAGGAAATTTAAAATTTTTATTGTTAGCATCCATCCCTACAATGCATATTGGGGGTAGGTTGTCATAAAATCCGCTCTTAGATCATTTCTACATCACATACAGAAAATTTGTACTAAATAACTAAATTTGATCACACGAATTCAGGACAAATAATTTCGAACTACGTGTTGATTTTAGTTGAACGTTTCGTCCTTTTATTAGGACTTCCTCAGGAACTTAATTATACTAGTAGTTATGTAAGAAAAACACTTTTTTCCAAATTCTTCGTTCACGATATCTCACGAACGAATTAACTGATTTTTATCACGTTGACGATGATCGATGCAGTTTTTTAAGCTCAAGAGCTAATTAGTTTATTCCATCAAAACAGTTTTTCAAATTTTTCATTTTTGAGATTTCTCAGAATCTACTGGTCTGAATTACCTCAAATAAAATATTTAGAGGCAAAGAAACTCTTCGATTGCCGTCAATTTCGTTCAAATCGGTCAATCCGTTCAAAAGTTATAAGAGGTTTACACACACACACACATGCATACTTACGTACAGACAGACACCATGGCGGGAATAGTTAGGGATGTTTCCTAGGACTTCAAAACGTCTAGACCTGATGAAAACTCGATTTTCGAGAAACAGGGTAGAACCAAGAACTTCCCGATTCTTTTTAATTTTCAATTTTCTTAGTGGGAAGTTAAAAATTTGGAGTGAGCATTGAGTTTCATTTGAAAAAATTGCAGGTCTCATAAGTGGAGAAATCTGCCTAGCTTTAAGTGTGACGAATGTTTCCGTTTATTAATATACTCTCAGTGACATCAATTTTTTATAGAAAATTAATTTTCAAGTTTTGACGAATTTTATCTAAGTAATTAAATAGGGTTACACGATAAATGATCCCGCGATATCAATTATCGTGTAACCATTAAATAGTCGTAGTAATAATCATAATAGTGACTTTAATAATTTTTGAAATTTAAAACTTTTCAAACTCTGGTTAAATTGCTAAGTTTATCTGCATTCCATGGATCTATTGTCATTCTCAACGTTGCAATCTGGTGATTTTATTTTGTTTTTGATGATTTTGAATAAAAGACAGATTTCGATGTTTGGTGGTCCTCTCAGCAATTCTTTGACCAGAAAGTAAAGGTCAGCATCATATTCACCATCAGTGAGAGCTTGAATTTTGTCTGCGATTTTTGTGGGCATAGCATACGGGCTTTTCGATAAATAAGTAGGTGTTCGATGGTTTCTGGTTCACTATGGCATAGTCTGCAGTCCCAGGCTTTGTAACCTTTTTTGTCATGTCTGCCAATATTTTCGCATCTTAGACGTGACCAGATTTCTTTTATCCAGCCCTTTGCGTTCCTGTCATTCCAGAGTGGCTCACGACCATCAGTTGTTTTAACAAATTTATACCGCGGGCAATATGTTGAGCTGAGTATCTTACTCCTTGTCAAGCTTCTTTCTTTCTGTAGGTAGTCATAGATCAGCATCAAGCTTAGTTTTAATCATATCGGGTTCGACTCTTTGCCAGATCATTTTTGGGACATCTTCGCAGTCTGTCTCTCTCAGAGCCAGGTCCATTGTTTTTCCCCATTTAGAGCGATTACCATTTATGATGTTGCGACATTTCTCTTTCAGTATTTACTTAGGCTATCGAGAGAGTGTCAGTGACATAACTGCAGGCTCCCTTCCTGGTTAGGTCAATATTTGGAGGGACTTCGGCTTCTGATCCTTATAGATATTCGAGAGTATTTCTAGCTACTCCAAGTGCTAACTTGTGTGCTCTGCCATACCGTTTGTTGAAATCCTCGTTGAAGACCTATCTGCAGATCTCAACACCGGAGATTGCTCTTGCATTGGCTAGAAAGTTATGAAGGTGTAGCCTATCCTTTATAGATGACCTTCCTGCACGCTAGATCAGGCCCCAGGTGGAGTTTAAGGTTTGCTGAGTTTTGCCCACTAGCCATCTGGTGTGCTTTTTGAAGGTTCCTCCAGCGGTGAACCAGTAACCAAGATATTTGAATTCACTCACACCTTTTAAGTTTTCAACCTTTGAAATATCAGTTGTGGTTCTCTAAATTTTTTCGTGTAACCTTCACAATTATGATCTTGGTTTTCTTGGTGTTAACTAATAATCCACTTTCATCAGCGTAAGCTTCGAAGGCCTTCAATATATTTTTTAGTCCCTCCGCGGTATCAGCAGGGATTTCCTACCTCCAAGCACAGTTCTACCAATGCCTTTAGTTGTCCATATATTATCTACATCATCGACGTATATGTCGAAGAGAGTCGAGCTCAGCGCACAACCTTGGCGGACTCCAGCAGTTGACTTAAAGCTTCTGCTGCCTATTTGATTAGTTGTCTTTGAGCAAATGGCTTGGATCATGCAAATCATTCTTGCTTAGATTCTCGCAGCTTCAACTATCTTGAGAAGCTTTTCTCTTGGTATCTTGTCAAAGGCATTCTTATAATCGACGAAGCTGATAAAAAGCTTACCTTCAAGCTGCTTCAGTTTGTTGTTCGTTAACTCATTGAGTACAAATATGTTGACTTTGGCCTGCTGTGATCACTAACCGCCTTGTTGTGCGGAGTGGTCCAGCAGTAATGGATGGAGCTCAGGCTGGGCCCTCGGAGAGTCGGACTCCGGGGACAACCCCCCTGAGCATTTAATAACATAATAATAATAATAATAATAATAATAATAATAATAATAATAATAATAATGAGTTATGAATAATTCATTATAAATATCTGAAATAAAAGTAAAATTAATTCTTAAATTAATAACAATAGTGTCAAAAATTTCAAATATAAATAATAATAATAATAATAGTAAGGCGCGCAGTAGCCTATCGGATCCGGCCCTTGCTTACCAAAGCATTGGACTGAGTTTGAGTCCGGCATACACCAATGAATATTTTCAATATTTAAGTGTATTATTCTGCTGAGCCCAAAAAATAAAACGAGTTCCAATCTCAAAAGTTTACCCCCTACTGTAGTCGCTCATGACCTTAGTAGTTTATGCGACTTTAAACAAATTAAGAAAAAAATAATAGTAATAAATTCAATACATAAATTAATAAATATGTACAAAATAATAAAATTCAGAGACACACCGAGTGTGGATCTGTTGCCAAATTTAGGCGCAGGGAGGGGCGCACACAGGGAATAATAACCCTGTGACAGAGTCGTTCACGGCTTCTCTTTTCAGCTATGTTGAGATACAGTTTTATTGTACTAAAGACTTTGTTTATGCTATAGCTATTAGTATTGTTTTAGAATTTTATATTTGAGTTACAGTATTTTATATTTTTGGAAAGAGTAAGTTTAGAGTCAGTTATGTAGAAGGTTAAAGTTTAGTGAAAATTAAGTTGGCGTCTCGAGCTTGTGGACGAGTCTACGTTGTCGTGGAGCGGGACCTTGGAGTCACCCAGCCTCGTAGATGCTAAGCATCTAGCCCTTTGAGATTTCCTGGTGAATTATAAAAGTCTGATTGTAATGTCAGCGCTCCAGTATAAGGGATTTGGTTGAGGTTGGAACCGGTATGTCGTTTACGGCATTTTTAATTTTAGTTGGCTAGGACGAGGATTGACCAACTTTGTCGGAAGTCAGCACTTGGTCAGATACGGTACGAGTGGCAGGCCACCGAAGGCAGCTGACCATGTCGGCGGTGGAAGCCAAATAGTCATTTTTGGATATTATTTTTGAGATATATTTTTACGTGTATGGTTCCAATCCAAAGCCAATCCCAGGAGAATAATTACCAAGGAATATCCTTGCTCGAGGAACGGTATGTTAAAGCTATGTTAGTTTTTATGTAAAGTTTATGGGGTTAATTTTTGAGTATGTTTTAGTTACGATTTTTGAGTTAGTTTAGATTGGGATTTTATTGAGTATTTTTGGGTTTTGTAAAAGTTATGAGGGTGATTGAGATTTATTATGAGAATTGTTAGAGCTCCAAATTATATTTTTAGTTACTATTTTTGAGTTATCACGCTACATTGAGGTTTTAGTTAATTATTATTTTGTGAGTCAATTATTCAGTTGTATAATTTTGTAATATTTATGATTTTGTATCGAGTCACGTTTATGATTTTTGTTATTTAGTTTTGTTAATAAATCAAAGATCAATCGAATATTTAAGCGTATTAATTATCACATTAATTCTTATCTGTATCCGAATCCCTTCCTCTCTCCATAAACCAGCATACTGAGCGACACCGTGGTTTACCTGTCTTTCCGCTTTAGCTACCAGTCTCAGGTTCTAGTTTTTATTGAGTTTTAGAGTATTTTCGTTTTGAGTTACATTTATAGAGTTTTGGTAATTTCTCGTTGTATAAAAATTATCTGGCGCCTTGGGTTTTAGTTGAGACTGGAAGCGAGAGTGAGAGACAGAAGTATAACCAGCATTGAGTAATCTGCTACGTAGTAGCAGATCTACACGATGTTAAAATTTTGGTTATAATATATATATAAATATATGAAAAATTGATGTGGGTACTCAAATGAAAGGTCTTGATGATTGTAACATCGGGATGAGTTTATATCTTAAAACATGTCAATAGTTCACAAGATACACGGTTATTGCTCAATTAATAACGTTTTTGAAGATATAAGCTCATCCTGATGTTACACTCATCAATAGCTTTCATTTGAGTACCCATATGGATTTTTGATATATTTTTCATATATACATATATGAAATACATATATTCATATATATGTATACATATATATACATATATATATATATATATATATACATATATACATATATATACATATGTTGTACATATATATACATATATATTTGTGATATATTTTTCATATATACATATATATGATATATATAAATATATGAAAAATTGATGTGGGTACTCAAATTAAAGGTCTCGATAAGTGTAACACCAGGATAAGCTTATATCGTTGACAATATCATAAGTGGACAAAATACAACGTCATTTCTTAATTATTGACATTTTTTAAAATATAAACTCATCCTGATGTTACTCTCATTGAGACGTATCGTTTGAGTACGTTTCGGACAAAATGTTTATCATCGAAAATTTCATCAATCAATATTTTTACAAATTTCAATTAATAATATCTATCCGTTCTCATGATGGTAATCGTTGCCAAAGTGGTTGCAATAGCAACAAAAAGCGACATCAATGAAAACGTTACATTAATTTATAAATAAAGGATTGCCTGCCACATGAAAATTATGTGACTATCACATGAAAATCATGTTGACATGTCATTTATACTTTAGTTATAGGCCCCAAAAACTATTTTTTCGGTAAATGTAAATCGGTAGAGGTTACCGATTTTTCGGTAGAGGCTACCGATTTTTCGATAGAGGTTACCAATTGAAATCGGTAGAGGCAACCGATTAAAATCAGTAGAGGTTACCGATTAGAAATCTACCGGTCCGAAACGATTCGGACCGGTAGATTTTGAGAAATCGAAAAAAAAATACAAAAAAAAATTTTTTCAAAAGTGGTTTTTTTGGAATAACTTTTAAACGGCTTCACCGATAAATTCCAAAAACTAATCAGCTCTTGACATCAAAAAACCACGTCGATCGCCGCCAGTCCGGTCAAAATTGGTTGATATGTTTGTGAGTTATCGTTAACGAAAGAAAACCGAAAAAAGTGATTTTTCGAAATTACTCCGAAATTTTTTGTTCTATCAATTTAAACTTGAAGATTCTTCATGAAGCTTAAAAAACTGCGTCGAATGCCACCAACAGCGTGAAAATCGGTTCATTCATTCAAAAGTTATTGCGATTTGAAAATTCAAAAAATAGTGTTTTATCAAATTTCTATCAAACTTTTGAGCTCGAAGAGCTCAAAAGCATACAAAAGCTATTTATTTGAGCTCGGAGAGCTCATAATAATACACAAATTGTATTTATGAGCTCGAAGAGCTCAAAAACGTCATAAGTGCAATTTCAAGCGTTGAGGTATAGAATTGGTGGAAAGTTGCAGAGATGGCTTTCAGAATCAACGGTTTCCCTAATTTTTTCAATTGATTTCATGGAACTAACTATTTTTAAATATGATAAGTATTAAATATAAAGAGATTTGTTTTGTAAAATGATGATTTCTTTCATTAATTAATACAATATTGTATATTATAAAAAGTAACATGAAAAAAGTGCTTTTTAGCAAAAAAATTAAAGAAATTGTTATTAGATCAATAAAACCGAATAAAGTATTTATTTGAATATAAATAAAAAATGAGTCGCTTAAGTAAATTCAAATAAATAAATTATTTATTTTACTTTTGGCGTATGCTAGTGGATTTTATATTTCGCAAAGTAATTGATTACTATGGTAAAATGATTAAAAATGATAAAAATACTTACACGATGATAGTTTAAAATTCCCTGAACAAATATTGCAAGTAGCAATTTTTTGTTGGTTGATAATGGAAAGCTTAAAATAATCCCAAGCTGGGCTTCTTGAAATGTAATTTTTTTTTTCATTTTCATCGATAATTACTTCTACATATTCTTCAGCATAAACTTCTATTAAATCAAATCATCAGATAATAAATGAGATGAAGAATCACTATTCGATGCTGCCATCTTCATAATAATTTACTCAAATTGAATTTGATTTTTATATTAATTACAATTATGACGTGACAATCAACTGGAGAAAGTGACTAAAAAACGTACGATTCAGAGTTTCATAAGTTAAACAAGTTGTAAACTGACAAGCAGCGCCATTATATAACATCTTAACTTATCATCAGTCAGTAACAAAATTAAAGCGCCAAGATTTAAAATAACATTATTTAAAATTATATCATTCAAAATAATTTTATTTCTTCCAATAATTATTGTATATTTGACGAAAAACATTGTTTTAAAAAATACTACTATAATTTTTTGACTAGCATAAAAATTTTTAAGTATTTAAAATATACTTCAATATTATTAATCTATTTATTTATTCGTTTCAAATATTTAAATTAATTGAACTATTTGAATTGTTCAAACCATACGAATTATTGAAACTATTCGAATTATTCGAATTATTCGAACTATTCGAATATTCAATTCGAATTTCGAATCGAATAGTACTATTTGATTCGATTCGATTCAAACACTATTCGCACACCCCTAATTTTGAGCAATTCTAAACAAATTAATAAAATCATAATTTTTCGAAACAACTTTTGAGCTGCTGTATCGATTATTCCATAACCTAACCAGCTTCTAACCTAAAAATATGACGTCGATGCCGTTTGAAAATTCGTTCATCAATTCATCGGTTCGTCAGATATGGTTGACGAACAATTACGAAAAAATTGTTTTTTTCAAAGAATTTCGAAATTTCTGTTTGGATCGTTATCGATGTAATAAAATCACTATTAGTGCGCAAAAAACTGTATCTGACGTCGATATTTTGTCAAAATCGATCAATTCGATAGAAAGATATTTCATTTTAAAAAATTCTAAAAAAGTGTTTTTTAGAATAACTTCATAAATCTACATCAAATCGTTTGTTAGGTAAGAAATCTTTTCGTGCTTGAAAAACTGCGTCAAATTCCGCAAGCTCATCAAAAACGATTGATTTTATCGGAAGACATTGCAATTGAAACTTTAAAAAAAAAGATGTCAACAACCACTAAATTTTCGAAGAGCTCAGAAAAGTATAAAAGTTGTGTTTTCGAGCTCAAAAAGCTCAAAACTTCGAAATATATCATTTCTCGAGCGTTTGGAATTTATGCATAGCGGAAAGTTTCAGGAATGGCCTGATGGTCAACCGTTTTCCAGTTTTTTTTACTCTGAAGTTATTTGTTATTGATGTCCATAGTATACTACATATATGCTACCCATCTACTTGGTTGCTATTATTGTAGTCAATATTCGATTGCACTATTATTATTAACATGAAGTAAAAATTAACTGTTTTGATAAAATTAATCAAACATTCTAATTTGGTGACCCTGAAATCATTTCTTTTTGTAATATTTCGAGAGTCTTGGAGCTTAAACGAATTATCAAATTTAAGTTTGGCCGTAAGACTAAAAAATCGATTGGAAATAAAAGTTGATGTCTATTTTTAAATTACTTCTCATGCTGATTATTAGGGCCAGGAATTTGGTTTTGTTAAAAGACAAAGAAAAAAGATAGGCGGGGCCAAGTTCTCTGATTGGTTGAAAAAAAATGAATTTGTTTTGTTTCTCGCAAGCACCTGAAGCCAGTAGCATAGTAAAAAAAAAATCGGATTGCTAAACCAAGATAAAAATATATTTAAAAAAATGCTGATGATGACGCTAAACTCAGCAAACTCTCGACAATGTTGTAATAGCATGTTTTCAGGATAGTGGAAAAAAAAATATTTTGAAATTGCACACGCACCCACGGCCTCGCAGACAAACACGTTGGTAATTTTCTGAGATATTGTACTAAGGGTCTTGCTGGATAGCACGCAGAAAATTTTGCTGAATATCGACAACAACAACAACAACAACAACAACAACAACAACAACAACAACAACAACAACAACAACAACAACAACAACAACAACAACAACAACAACAACAACAACAACAACAACAACAACAACAACAACAACAACAACAACAACAACAACAACAACAACAACAACAACAACAACAACAACAACAACAACAACAACAACAACAACAACAACAACAACAACAACAACAACAACAACAACAACAACAACAACAACAACAACAACAACAACAACAACAACAACAACAACAACAACAACAACAACAACAACAACAACAACAACAACAACAACAACAACAACAACAACAACAACAACAACAACAACAACAACAACAACAACAACAACAACAACAACAACAACAACAACAACAACAACAACAACAACAACAACAACAACAACAACAACAACAACAACAACAACAACAACAACAACAACAACAACAACAACAACAACAACAACAACAACAACAACAACAACAACAACAACAACAACAACAACAACAACAACAACAACAACAACAACAACAACAACAACAACAACAACAACAACAACAACAACAACAACAACAACAACAACAACAACAACAACAACAACAACAACAACAACAACAACAACAACAACAACAACAACAACAACAACAACAACAACAACAACAACAACAACAACAACAACAACAACAACAACAACAACAACAACAACAACAACAACAACAACAACAACAACAACAACAACAACAACAACAACAACAACAACAACAACAACAACAACAACAACAACAACAACAACAACAACAACAACAACAACAACAACAACAACAACAACAACAACAACAACAACAACAACAACAACAACAACAACAACAACAACAACAACAACAACAACAACAACAACAACAACAACAACAACAACAACAACAACAACAACAACAACAACAACAACAACAACAACAACAACAACAACAACAACAACAACAACAACAACAACAACAACAACAACAACAACAACAACAACAACAACAACAACAACAACAACAACAACAACAACAACAACAACAACAACAACAACAACAACAACAACAACAACAACAACAACAACAACAACAACAACAACAACAACAACAACAACAACAACAACAACAACAACAACAACAACAACAACAACAACAACAACAACAACAACAACAACAACAACAACAACAACAACAACAACAACAACAACAACAACAACAACAACAACAACAACAACAACAACAACAACAACAACAACAACAACAACAACAACAACAACAACAACAACAACAACAACAACAACAACAACAACAACAACAACAACAACAACAACAACAACAACAACAACAACAACAACAACAACAACAACAACAACAACAACAACAACAACAACAACAACAACAACAACAACAACAACAACAACAACAACAACAACAACAACAACAACAACAACAACAACAACAACAACAACAACAACAACAACAACAACAACAACAACAACAACAACAACAACAACAACAACAACAACAACAACAACAACAACAACAACAACAACAACAACAACAACAACAACAACAACAACAACAACAACAACAACAACAACAACAACAACAACAACAACAACAACAACAACAACAACAACAACAACAACAACAACAACAACAACAACAACAACAACAACAACAACAACAACAACAACAACAACAACAACAACAACAACAACAACAACAACAACAACAACAACAACAACAACAACAACAACAACAACAACAACAACAACAACAACAACAACAACAACAACAACAACAACAACAACAACAACAACAACAACAACAACAACAACAACAACAACAACAACAACAACAACAACAACAACAACAACAACAACAACAACAACAACAACAACAACAACAACAACAACAACAACAACAACAACAACAACAACAACAACAACAACAACAACAACAACAACAACAACAACAACAACAACAACAACAACAACAACAACAACAACAACAACAACAACAACAACAACAACAACAACAACAACAACAACAACAACAACAACAACAACAACAACAACAACAACAACAACAACAACAACAACAACAACAACAACAACAACAACAACAACAACAACAACAACAACAACAACAACAACAACAACAACAACAACAACAACAACAACAACAACAACAACAACAACAACAACAACAACAACAACAACAACAACAACAACAACAACAACAACAACAACAACAACAACAACAACAACAACAACAACAACAACAACAACAACAACAACAACAACAACAACAACAACAACAACAACAACAACAATAACAAAAGGAATTCTTCAATTATAGAAGGATTTGTACGATCAGTGCAATATTTGTGTGGTTAAGAAATAGAAAAATTAAATAAAGAGAAAGGAAAAGGATAACAGAACTCAATAAGTGTGAAGTCAAGAAATTCATGAATTAAATCTTGAAAACATATTATTCAGAAATTGACATTTTTTTCTTTTTTTTCACTACATTTAAAAGTATGGCTCTGTTCATTTCGTTCTAAAAATTGACTAGAAGAAGTATTTTCACTAACAAAAGCTTTGAGAGCAACTGCTCGACGTTCACGCTGAGCTTGTCGCTCGGCTAATTCTTCAATTTCATTTTCTAAATCTTCTAGTCGTGCCTTTGTTTGTCGTACTCTAATAGTTGCATTTGAGCATGTATCGGAGTCTGGTGTCACCAATTTTGACCACTTTGTAGGAGGAATATGTTCTCTTTTACATTCTAACATATTATCAGAATAACGTTGAAATGGGATGAAATTATTATCATCTCTTGAATATTTAAAGTTCTTTGAGACTTTGTCTTCAATATTATAAAATTGTTGTTGAATTGAATGTTTCAGCTCACTAGTATGATCTGTGTTCTGACTTAAATTAGTTGCTTGATCTTTAAAACGTTGTGTGGCTGAAGCAATTTCATTTGAAACATCATTTCTCAATTTAAGGCGATTGGTACGTTGTCCCCATATATCATAAACTGTCTCCTCATTGTCATCATGATCATCATCCTGAGTTCGTCCGTAAAAAGAGTGTGAAACTTGTTTTTTAGGTCGAGGTGATTCATAGTCTAGGTCACTATTAGAGATGCCGTTTCGAGATCCAGACAAGTTACGGCTACCTGTAAATCAATCAACATAAATCATACAAAAAAGGTACATAATTTATTTTTACGTTCAATGTATTATCCACTATCTCAACTGAAACATAACCACATTATGATGATAATAAAATATGAAATGCCTGAACTCCAAACTTCAACATTATAAATACTTCATCAATCTCAAAATGAAATCTGATTATGTTTAAAACCTCGATTCACTCATAGTAAAAATTTTTATATGCTGTCAGAATTGTTAAAAAAAAAAATGTGACTAGAGAATGATTAAAATGATCAAATATGATAGATTTATTAAAAAGTTGTTTTATATTTTTATTATAACAATTATAACTTATTAACTTTGATAAAATCGCTAAAAAGTATTATAACTTTAAAAGATATCGTGACCAATCATGCTCTCCAAGCTCAAAGCGTAAGCTATTCTATGCTTTTGAGCTCTTCGAGCTAAAACAGCAATTTTAAGGTTGTTTATTATCTTCGATTTTTTTTTCAAAATTTTCAAAAATATTACTTCCCAAGACACGAATTTTGAGCCTAGTCTCGTAACAGGAAAATGAAGGGTTATAATTTTTTTTCGGGACGTCTTTCTGCGCTCGCACCCTGGGGTGGGACAGCGGAAGCGCTCTCAAGGATTGGTTTTATATATTCAAAGAGATGTCAATAAGGATAAAATAGGTTCAGTTTTATTATAAAGGATTTGGGAGAGGAGGAAAGTCAGACGTCCGTCGTTCGGTAAGTCCCGGTGGGTACTGACTTGACTCTGCACTGAAAAAAAAGTTTTTTTCCACCCAGAATACAAAGTATTTTTATCCAAGTTTTTTTATATCCAATATACGTTTTCTTGATATAAAAAAACTGGTATTTTTCTCCTGAGAATACCTAATTTTTTTCTGGAGCTAAAACTTTATACTGCATTACCATAGCAACCGCAGCGGTGGCGCCGCCAATTCTCTAACTTTCCTCCAATTTCACAGTCCTGGTGTGTTTGTTTAGATCATAGGAAAGTTGTATATTCTAATTTATTGTTTATTTTTATTAATTTTCACATGTGGAATTTTTTAATTAAATTTTTTTTTTATAATAATTTAATTGCCATAAAATTCTAAAAAAATTTTTAATGTCTGTCAACTTCAGTGTCATTCTTAAATTTAATTATTATAATTTTAATTATTATAATTTTATTTATTTAGTTTTCTTAAATTTAATTATAATTGATAAATTAATAATTATTAATTTATTAATTATAATAAAAAAGATCCACCGTATCATAAACATATCGTATGCATCTGTGTCAAATGAGGTTAAGTCGGCCATATTTTTATTTTGGTATTTTGCTGAGAAGGAAACCGAGTTTTTTAAAAATCACCATACTTATTAGTGTAGGAAAAAAACTTTGCTATTCTCCACACAGGTATACCAGTTTCTTTACTGGAGGGAAAAATTTCCTAGGTGGAAAAAAACTTTTTTTTCAGTGTGCTCTCATTAATATTACAATCAGCGTTTTGACGCCATTATGAATCTCAGGTTACTCACGAGAGAGTCGTCGGGGTCCGAGTCACACGCTGACACGAGTTATCCTTCGTGTCTCGCACTTCGAGATTAACTTCCCGCTAAGAAAATCGAAGATTTTCAAAAATCGGGAAGTTATTGTTTTCACCCCGTTTTACAAAAATCGAGTTTTCATCAGATCTCGACGTTTGAAGGTAACAGGAAGCTTCCCTGACTATCCCCGCGAGGTTGTCACTATGTCTGTATGTGTGTGTGTGTGTGTGTTTTTTTTTTTTTTTTTCGTTTCTGTAAAGAGGTACGAAAAAAGATCTTCAAAAGACACCGCTATCGTTAACTCTGCCGCCCATCTTACGGCAGATATCGATAGTCGGTAGTGTGGAGATTTTTACCCACTAAAAAAAAAACATTCCTCTTCCCCTCTCCCCTAGACGGTATGGAAAGGACTGGATTGGAACCGCGTTAGCATTACTTCAATCCAGTCGTGCTGCGTCTTACGACGCGTACTCCTGGCTACTGGTCCCTTTCTGCGATTTTGTCTTTCAGGAGGTGCTGTGCATAAGCTGCAACAGCTGACCAATTTTCCTCTTGTTTGATCATATAGGTCACCAGACTTGAGGGGAGAGCCTGGTGCCTATGATCTCTTCGGTGCTTCTTCTGTAGTCCTTCCATCGAGCACACTCAAAGAATGTGTGTTCGGCGTCGTCGATTTTATCCGGGCAGTATTTTCATGTTGGTGTGTTGTGTAAACCCATCTTGAAGGGAAGAGATAGGCGTTGTACTGCCCATGCCCTGTCAGTAGTTGGGTCAGGAAGAAATCCGTGTCCCCGTGTTTCCGAGAGAGCCAGACGTTGATGTTTGGGATCAGTCGCGCTGTCCATCTGCCTGTCTCTCCCGACGTCCATCGGTCCTGCCACTCTTGCTGGGTTTCCGTTTTTATCCTCGTTCTTGCCTCCTTCATGTTTTCACCGCCGATTTTAGCGTCGTAGAGTCTTGCTCTCCCGAACGCTAATAGGTCGATGGGCGCAGCTCCCGCAATGACCAATACAGCCGCTTCGGAAACCGTGCGGTAGACGCAGGCAACTCTGAGAGCGCCTCGCCGCTGCACTGCTGCCATTTTCCGCCGATAGGTTTTCTGCTTTAATATATCTGCCCATATTTCTGCTCCATAAAGCAGTACCGAATGGACTGCTTTCAGAAGGACTCTCCTCTTTTTGGTTCTTGGTCCCATAGTGTCCGTCATAATTCTTGCTAGGCTAGACAACGTCTTGCTGGCTTTCTGGCATGCATTATCGAGGTGTTCGCGGAAAAATAGTTTCTCGTCTATCATTACCCGGGGAAAACGGTTTAGATCTGACCAGATATAATTATATCTGGTCAGATCTAATTATATCTGGTCAGATTTATTTATATCTGATCAGACATAGGATTGGAGACATAATCAGATCTAGTTATATCTGATCAGATCTAAACAGATATAACTATATCTGAGTTGAAAAATTCATCAGACATGATCAGATCTAGTCATATCTGATCAGATATAAACAGATATAACTATATCTGAGTTGAAAAATACATCAGACATGAACAGATATAGTCATATCTGATCAGATCTAAACAGATATAACTATATCTGGGTTGATAAATACATTAGACATGATCATATCTAGTCATATCTGATCAGATATAAACAGATATAACTATATCTGAGTGAAAAAATACATCAGACATAAATCAAAATAATTCTATATAATTGTATATAATTATATATGGCCATTTTTCGTATATAATTATGTATGAGTATATATAATTATATATAATCATTTTTACCTGGGCAATTTTAAAATTTGACCAGATCTGGTCAGATCTGATTATATCTGGCCAGATCTCGTCAGATAGAGACAATTTAAAGATCTGGCCAGATCTGTTTATATATGGGCAGATCTAATCCGTTTTTCCCGGGTACCCCCAGATAGCGCAGGGCCCTTGTTGACGTTAGTGTTGTTCCTCCCATGTCCATAGCGAATGGTTTTGGGAACCATTTTTGGCGAGTCAGAACGACCATCTCGGTTGTGTGCTTGGCGAGTTTCAGGTGGTGTTTATCGAGCCAAGTCACGACAGCATCAATGGTTTCCCGAACTAGTAGTTCGGCCTTCTCTACGCTGTCTACTATTATCGTGGCCGCGACGTCGTCTGCAAAGCCCGTTAGCTCCACTTGCTTTGGCAACGGGATTTCAAGAAGCTCGTCGTAGTCCGAGTTCCATAGATCGAGCCCCATTATTGAGCCTTGCGGCACGCCAGCCGTTATGGAGTATTCTTGTGGGCCTTCCGTGGTTTCTGCTATTAGCTTTCTTTCGTCAAGGTAGTTGTCGACTAGTGCCAGATTCTCCGGTTCCACGTCAAATCTGTGCTCCAGCGCGTCCAAAATATCTCTCCAATTTGCGCTGTTAAAGGCATTTCTAATGTCTAGCGTGAGGACAAGACACACCTTGCGGGCTTTGAGGCTACCAGTCCATGCTTCTCTCGCTGTCCCTACGACTTTCTGTATCGCGCCTACTGTTGAACGTCCTTTCCGGAAGCCATGTTGGTTCGCGGCAAAACCTCCAGCACGGTCTATGTCGTTGCGAAGTCTCCCTTGTATGAGCTTCTCGAGCAGTTTTCCAGCAATGTCTAGCATACAGAGTGGTCTAAACGACGAAGGTGTTATGGGGGTTCCCTTACCTTTGTCTAAGAGAACCAATCTCTGCCGTTTCCAGACCGCGGGAAACGTGCCAGTTGCCAAGGATGCGTTGTAGGTGTTCAGGAGTATGTCTGGGTATTCCAGGGCTACAATCTTGATCACCGATGCCGGGATGCCATCAGGTCCAGGTGCCTTTCCTGTTTTGAGTGACTTGGCCGCGTCTTGTAATTCCTTAGTTGTGAAGGGTGTTACTTCGCTGTTCTTAGTGTAGTGTTTCTATTCCCACGGCAGGTGTTTGGGAAAAAGCTCCGCTACAATGCTGTTCATCAAGGCAGGAGACTTCGGCCTGGCTTGGGGAGCGTTTCGCGGCTCTCGTTGCTCGGCGACGTAGCTGATGACATATTTTGCGAAGTTCTGCTATGTCTGCTGACCACCAGTATGCCGGCCTGTGGAAATTGATTTTTCGGCCGCGGCATAGAGGCGTCACATGCGGCAGCGATTTTTTTCATCGTATTTAGCACTGCCTTTTCCGTCTCGCTGCACGTATCCGGAGTCGGGTTGTTCTGAAGAATAGACCAGCTTCGTGCAAGTGAAGCTTTCAATGCCTCTGGATCAAGCCTTTTGGCATTCCACTTCCGCTTCCATTACACACACACACACACACACACCCGCGGCAGAAGAGAAACTGCTATCAGGCGCGTCTCCCCGTAGCGGATGGGTTGACACTCGCTGTCCTTGGATGACACTTGGATAATCTCTCAGTTGATGAGGTACAGCGAGTAGGAGCCAAGCAAAATAACCAAACAAAATACGCTCCCGTGGACAAAACTCCCCTTTAATGGGTTGGTCACACTAACTGACCTAACAAGACGAGGGTAGCGTTGTTCGCGTCCGTAGGTACTGCTTTAACACCCTACACGTGCTCTCCGGGTAGTACTAAATGAATAACACCAAACAACGATATGGAAATGTCAGAAGATATTCAAACATCGTTTACAGTACAGAAGATGGATACCTCAGTGCCGGCGAGGGAAGGCGTGAAAACGGGCCTGAACTCGTCGTTATCAAGCGACCGTTATGACAGCAGGGTGGACCCCATGGCCCTGCTATCTGGAAATGCTACAGGGAGTACGCAAGAGAGAACAATTAACAAGAGTATTGAGGGGCCTCATGCCCAAGAAGCGGCGATAACAGCAAGCGCTGAAATGAAGAGAACAAAAGCACTGGAACGCCTTGAAAAGCTGACCATTCACTTGCAGGATTTCGTCCTATCCAAGGTCAATATTCACAAGGAGATCAAGACGAAGACGACCAGCATAGTCAACTCCCTGCGAAAATTTAGAACACTGGATGAGGATTGGCAGACAACACGACGACTAATGCCTCGCATTACGCCAGAGAAAAGCAGTCAAGCTGTTATTGAGACTGAGGAGTCAATGGACACCGGTGCCGATGGTGACGGCGAATCTGTTGCTGACGACAAGAGTGAAGGTGTTCCCAAGTCTAATAAGAGGAAGGACCGAAACTCGCCAGATCTAACAGAAAGGCGAGTGGCAAAGAAGAAGGACCTGAAGCCAAGTCCTCTGAAAGACGTGACGAAGCAGAACGCCGAAAAAAAAGACGCAGCTGTCTGGCAAGACGTCCAATCAAGGAAGAAGAAGAGGAGACTAGCCAAAGAGCAGCTCCCAAAGCAGACTTCAAAGGAGCTCAGGCCGGAGCCTAAGCGGAAAAAACCCCACAAATGGATTAGACCCGACGCACTGATCATTCGCCCAGCCGAGAAGGAGAAATACGCCGAGATCCTGCGTCGAATCAAGCAGTCCGTCCCTGATGAACAGGTCCGTACGACCGTGGAGAAAATCCACAAGACCAATACCGGGGACATGCTGATCACACTCGCGAGAAAGAGTGCTGATAGAGGCGAAGCCCTACAAAAGACCATCGTGGACATCCTTAACGAGGAAGCCAAAATGATATGCAAAGGGCCACAGGAGACTATCGAGATTCGAGACGTCAATGACGACACGACGAAGGCAGACATTTAAACTGCACTGAAAAAAGAAACCGGAGAAACCTGTGAAATACCTCTGGAGTCGATCA